CTTCCCTAATTTTGTTGTTGCTGTTTTTGTTTTGTTTTCACTGCTCCAGGGCTAAGCATAATGTCTGGCCCATAGGAGAGGGATATCTATAGTATTAGTATGTTTCTTGCATTCTTATGTGATTCCATGAAAATCAAGATATCTGAAGATGAACTTCATTTATCCTTTAGAATTATTTTGCCCTACTAAATTCTTTCACTATTGTTTACTCAGATGTGAATACTCAGAATTTTTTATTGTAAAGGTATTGTTTAAAAACATTCCTGAAGCTTTACTTACTTTGAAAATTGAAAAGCCTATAGAAAAGTTGAAAGAGAGCACTGAATTTCTAGATACACTTCATCTAAATTCACCAATTATTAATACTTTCTTTTTTCTTCTTCTACTTTCTTCATGAAAATAGTAGGCATCATGATTGTAATCTCACAGTTCTTCAGACTTGTTGCTCCTAAAAGCATGGACATTCTCTTGTACAGATTAATACTCCTTACTCAGGAAATTTAGCCCATGAAAAATTGACATTCATAAAATGTTTCTGAGTTAATATATAATCCGGACTCAAATTTTTCCGTTTATCCCAGTAACTTTTTCCCCTTCAGTTCTTTGTGTTGTCATGTTTCTTTAGTCTCCATTAGCCTAGAGCAATTCCTATCCTAGCTTTTTTTGTTTTTTATGAAACCTTTGAAATGTCTAGGTGAGTTATTTTGTAGAAGTAAAAGATTCTACAATTAAGGGTTTGTCAGAATACTAAATCTTTTTTTTTAAATCTTTTTTAGCATGATCCAACAAAGAGTGCATATCAGCTTGTCCCATGATTAATTTCATTTCTTATGAAAGTGATATCTGTGATGTTTCTGCAATATAAAGTCTTCTTTTTCCCCTTGTACATAGCAATCCTTGGGGTAATACTTTTGAGACTGTGACTACCCTGTTCGCCAACTTGTACTCAGTGGTTTCAGGATCCACCAATCATCTTTACCAGAATATATTTTTACATTAGAGGCTGAAAATGATAACTTTATAATCTATCTTTTATAATAATTTTATAATCTGTTCTTTCTATAGTTAGTTGTGTTTTTTTTGTAAAGATGTGTACTCTCCAGTGTAAGCAGAGGGAGTTCATTCATGCCCCTATCAGTGTAAAATCCCTTCCGTATTGCAGGAGCAGTGAAAAGATCCTGACACATCTTTCATGTTCTCTGCCTTAGTCATACAACCAGTTATTTGTGTAGAACCAAATTCTTTCATTTTTTTTTTTAGCAAAATTGTTTTTGATTCTTCTTTACCTTTCATACCTAATGAGTATCCTTCTATTCAGTAAAATTTTTTTACATTAAGTGCTTACTATGGACCAAACACTATGTGAGGGCTGAATATAAACTATGAACAAGGGTGGTTACATTCCCATCTCGTGTCTCAGAGGGAAAACAAATACACACATATATGCATGTGTGTGTGTGTGTGTGTGTGCTAAGTATCTTGAAGGGAAATTACATGCTGTGTAATTACATGTCTGTCGTGCAAAATGAAGTGGCTTTTATGTTTGAATCTTTCTCCCTCTCCACAGACTTTCAGAACATTTCCATGTGGTTTCTTCAGTGGGGTAGCTGGACTTTCTAGTGTTCACTCAGAATTCCCAGAAGTACAAAAGGGAAAGCTTGTTACAGTTTTCAGGGATCCTTCAGCTCTTTGCCACTTAGGCACCTCTTAGAACCTTTCCTCCATAAAAGAAAAATTCAAATTTATATTTTATGACTGCATTAATATAAAGATGAATATATTAGTGTTAGAAGCTAATTTTTCCTTTGCTATGGAAATTTATTTTTCCTGGTTTTTAAAGGAATTATAACACTGTTATGGGCCATGGAAATATTGTGGACCCAATGTCACACATTCTGTTGTGTTCCTAGTTAAATCAAGTCACAAGTGAGCCCTGGAAGGCGACTACATAAGCCAGGAAGTACAGTTCACTGGAAAATAGTTATTACCTTTGATTATACTACAGTTTCAGGAAAGAATGTATTAACCTACTGTCTTACTTTGTATGGAGCGTGTACAGGATCTTTGTTCTCACATAGCTTGATTAGGGTTTATTTTTTGCAGTTGTTGTGCTTGTTTTTTAAATGGTATTTACTTTTTTTTTTTTTTAGGAACGTCAGGAAAACCTCAGTAACCTGGGTGGTGGTCAGTTTGTGTACTTCAATGCTGATTTTCAACCTCCTCTTTGTGTTTGGAATTGAAAACTCCAATAAGCCCTCAAAGGCAGATGGTGCTGAGAGAAAAAATGACATGCAGAACGAAGTGCCTCAATCAGACCTTATAGAAGCCAAATCCAACCCCACATGCACTGTAATCGCGGCTTTGCTGCACTATTTTCTGTTAGTGACATTTACCTGGTCTGGTATCAGCGCCACACAACTCTATTACCTTCTAATTAGGACCATGAAGCCTCTTCCTCGAAATTTCATTCTTGTTATCTCTTTAGTTGGGTGGGGTAAGTGTTTACATCTCTACTTACTTAGGAAATTAATTTTGTAGTTATCCTTTAACTCGAACAAGCACCTATGGAAGGTCTCATAGTACATGGAAAATCCAATAAAAATTAAGAGTGCCTTCTGATTAGTAGGTCATATTTCTGGGAGGCAGATAGATATAATGAAGGCAGCTGTCCTATACTCTAGGATTATTTATAACAAACTTTAGGATGTTAATTTCCTTTACCATCGCCATTTATTTGATTTGTGATTTTATACCACACATAACTTCCTAGGTACTTTAAAAGAAATTCTTCAAAAAAGACATTCATTGTGACTCTTTATGAAAACTATTTTGAAAACTGTGTGGGGTTCCAGCAAAAGAGAATTGTTTTAGGGATATCTAAATCTAAATATATTCAAGTGAAAGAGAAATTAGGCATCTTAAGAATGGAAATTGTGGTAAGAGTCACTAAGAAATCTGAAATAGTACAGTACTGGCATGAAAGCCAGCACTTAAGTGGAAAGAACACCTAGCAGAGGAACACTGTCCACTGTTGACCAACATTTGTAAGATATTTCGCACATTGGAAGAGACAATACATCCTCAAAAGGGTCAGATGCATAATTCATTCATGGTCTTTTATAATTAATCCCAGTGTGGGGTGAATTATTAATTCTTTGCCTCTCTTTATCACAGGGGTCCCAGCTATAGTGGTGGCTGTGACAGTAGGAACTACTTATGCTCTGGCTAAGGAGAAGTCAAATTGGGAGATAAACTACCGTCAAGAGCCATTGTGAGTTTATATTTTTTAACTGTCCATGTCTTTGACAGAGCAGTGTAACTACTTAGTGATGTTGAGTCCAAGAATCACTGTATACATCTCATTTTATAAATACAATATTAAATGAGTATTTCAAATTCTCAGAGAACATTACATATTTAAAATACATTAAATTTTTTAATTAACAGGTTTTATCTTTTATTACATTTTACAAATTTTAATTATTTTAAATATTAACAATAAAATTTCAGCATCCAAATTTTAGCAATTTGAGTATAGGGATAGTAATTTCTCAACACCATTAGCTGTTAAGTAGATTCTGTGGTCATTTAATTGCATATATGTGATCTAACTTACTTTTGAATGACACTGCTAAAATCAACCAGCTATAAAGCAAAATAAATCTTTTCATGAGTTTTATACTTAGGGCTTATAGGTTAGGTAAATGTGAGGTTCCTTATATTTAGTTAAAAATGATTGGAAGTCTATAACAATAAGGAATTAAAAAATGTATTTGACTGTTTTGCTTCCATTTTATCTTTACAAAGTGTGAAAAATTCCTAGATGGCACTTTTGTTGATAGTTTAAATGTAATTAATTAAAAATTAAATAAAGCTTATTTTTAAATGTTACTAAGGTGATAAGCCCTGTAGACATGCTAATTTTTATGAACTATAATTTCAGTTGTTTGCCAAGTTTATGTGGTTTTGAAAATCCTAATAATTAGTTATTTCAGTGTTATTGACATCTGTTGGCTCAAAACAATACTATCTTTTCTAAACATTCCAGAAAAGGTGTATTAGATTTTAGTTTACTAGTAGTATATATGAGGGTGTCTATTAGCCTATGTCCTTACTTGTATTAGTAATACACACTTCTAAATGCCTGGTATTTTGTAACCAGAGTTATTTGTAACATGCTAAGTTAAGGCTTTTCAAGTTTGTCAGATATCCCTGTGGAAGCAACAATTCTTTGTGGTATCTGGGTGCTTGCTCATTTCCAGGGTGACCAGGCCCACCAGTAGAATAGGGAACTCTTTGTCTCACTTGATTTTAGGAGCCTAATAGTCTAGGAACTATTTTGTTTGTTTAATTAGAACTAAACATAGTTTAATGAGTTAAAACAAAAATTTTTTAAATGTACTTTATTTATTTATTTATTTTTAAAGATTTATTTATTTATTCATTCAGAACTGGGGTATAGGCCAGAGGTGCAGGGCGGTGAGAGGCTTCATCAGAGTCAGAGTGGGGAACAGAACAGGTAGATCATTGAAGTACACTGCTCAAGGGAGATGTCTGCCTCGCCATGTGGTCACCTCCGGGGCAGGCGGGGATTGAACTCATGCGGAAGAGCTTTGGGTTCTTGGTGCTATGCTTTAACCCGCTGCACCACCAGGGAGGGCCCTAAAATTTTAATTCCACAATTAGAGATCATCAATAAGATGTGAAATCTCATGAGGGGAGTAATTCACTGTAACTAAATTATTAACTTTCAATTCTAGCCCAGGCACATGTCTAAACTACTCATATTATAAAAGCCTCCAGAAGAAAGTACCTACTGCCTTCAATTTGCTCACATTAAGCTATTAATAACTGAGTCGAGCATTCCTGTGTATAGTATTAGATGCTAAGAAAGGCACTAGGTAGGCCCTCCCTGGTGGCACAGTGGGTTAAAGGATAGCACAAAGAAATTAAAGCCACTTCAGCATGAGCTTGGTTCCCACCATACCCACAGGTGACCCGCATGGCGTGGCAGACCTCTCCAGACCCGCCCACTGCTCCCCTCAGCAATGTACTTTATCAGTCGGCCTGTTCTGCTCCCCACGCTGTCTCTGGTGAAGCCTCTCACCGTCCCTGCACCTCTGGCCTGTACCCAGGTTCTGTATGCATAAATAAATAAATCTTAAAAAAAAAAAAAGGGCACTAGGCAACTGATAATAATAGAAGTTGGGAAGAAAAGAAAGGATGTGTAATGTGAATTTCTCTCATCTTGGACCTTTCCCCCTGCTTTCTACCTATACATGGGCATCAAGGGCACCTTTCTTTAGTGTATATTTAGAAAGAGGAGGGATTATTTTGGGTTTTCCTAAATTCTCTCTCTAGGATTTATAGTTCAGTAACCCATGCTGCCCCATCACTATTCCTAGCTCTGCTGGGACACAAACCCCCTAACTCAGTTTCCTCAGAAGTATTGTTTTCTCTGCCAGGATCCATTAAAGAATGACTTCAGGGCTGGTCACGCTCTTCCATAGTGGTCTACTCCCAACTCTCTGTACTACCAATCATTTAGGTTATTTCAGGCTTTTCTGAAGGCCTGAAAAAAATGTGATATCATCTTGGGAATTTAAAATGCTGAAGGGGATTTTTTTCCAAGTGTATGCCGTATATGCTAATCAAGTTGTCTGTGGAAGAATATTTCATGGCAGAATCACTAAGGAGTTGAACATTTTTTCTGAGGTCCACCTATAATGCTTTCCACAGATTTAACTCCCAAGTGTGACTTTCCAATCTCAGTTCTACAAATTCCACTCCATAACTACAAGTTAGTCTCACATATGATGTATCCCTTTCCTTAGCAGTCTGTTTCTCAAAATCTGAGGGTGAGGTTTTTGTTTTTGGGGTTTTTTTTTAGATAACAAAGGGAAAGGCTATCTAGAGAATAAACCCACAACCATCTCTCCAACTAGTACAAAGGATCAGGGGTGGTGGGGAGTCCCCTGTGTCAAGAAGACAGGGCCAGCTCTCTATCCCTTCCAGGTGTCCCTACGTGTTTGAGGTAACTGAGGAACTGTACAGACACATGTGTCTGTGCACATGTGCACACACAGGTCTGTGGTGCAACTACTAATTGTCAGAAATTGTGTGTAAAATTTAATAACTCAACATTCATGCAGATGAAATATTTACCTGTTAAATTTTTCATTTGCACGTCTACCTTTATTCAGTAGAGTAGTGATTGTTAACTTATCCTGTCTTCCCTTTTAAGCTGTGGTTCTCTAGTCTGCTTAGAGAAGCAGTGCATTCATTTTTTCATTTCAAACTTTCGATGGCCACTTGCTTAGTCACTTAGAGCTTCTGAAGATGTAAAACTATTTCTTAGGATTTCGTTAAATTCTTAGCTGACTGCCTTCCTATGTCTTCTATTGTGGGGACTGCAAGACGGAGGCTTGTGCTCCAGTTACAGATGAAAAGAAAGGGAAGCTTGAAGTTCTGAAGATAAAGGATTCATTCTTACAGTTTTATTTAAGCATGGGCCTGTTCTATCTATGAATATGTCAGTGGCACTCTTTTAGATTTTTTAAATTCGTTACAGAAACTTGAACTTCATCCCAGTTTCCTTCTAGGTTCATTTCCAATGATTTATGTTATAACAACATTCCAATACAAAACAATTTAGAAGTCCTTGGCATGTGTAGTAATAGTGGTTTACCTGCCGAAGAAAGAAAACACATTAACTGAGTGTTAAAAATGTGCCAAGACTTCTCATTTTATTTTGTTTGTGCCCAAATGCCTACCTGACCCTTACTGTTGGCTAATATGACATCTCCTGTTCTTCCCTCCCAAACCTACTCTTCCTATTTTCTTCTTCTTCTCAGTTAATGGTAATTTCACTTTTCCAGGTACTCCGGCCAAAGACTTTGGAGCTATTCTTAGTTTTCCTATATCTCACAACCAAACTGTCAGCAATACCTTTTACTTTACTTTTAAATATACCTAAAATCAGACTATTTCTTAATAGTGTCCTTACCAAAGTCACCTGGTAATTGCCATACAGTCCTGGCATATTTCCAACGTGTACACTTGCTCTTCTCTTAACACAGCATCTATCTAGAGTAATACTTCTGTAATTTAAGAAATATCTTCAGGTTTCCCCCTCTCACTGAAAGTACATTTGCAGTAGTCACCTATAAAGTCCACTCATGAAATTTTGCATCTTTTTACTAATCCTCTTTATTTATTCTGTTCTAACTTCACTAGATTCCTTGACATTCCTTAAACTTTCAAATCAGGGCCTTTGCCCTGGCTGTTCCCTCTGCCTGTCTGAAAGACTCTCATTTACTTCAGCCCTTTGCTTTTACATATCATTTCTTTCCATGAGACTTTTTCTTCTATTTAAAATACCCCACCCTCCGCCCCCGCCATGAACGCAGGTGCACACATACATATGTAGTGATACCTACTCTCATTGCCTGCTGTTTGTCCCCTACTTGTCACCATCTGGCATAGTATGCATTTTACTTGTTACTTTTGTCTATTTCTCTGCACTAGAATAAATTCATGAAAGTGTTTAGTTAGTGTTTTTGTTAATATACTGGTATCTAGAAAAGCATCTGGCAAATATCATGTATTCTATAAATAATTACTCAATGAATGAATTAGTTCTTACTACAATGCCAGGAGATTGAGTAATATGCTTAACAGATGAAGAGAAAAAACCACCAACAAAAGCAACAACAACAAATCCTAAGTAGCTGTAATGAGGTTAACTACATCTTAAAATGTTTTCAATCATTAAACTTTTTTTTCAAGATTTATTTATTTATGCATACAGAACTGGGGTACAGGCCAGAGTGCAGGGGCCATGAGAGGATTCACCAGAGACAGAGTGGGGAGCAGAACAGGCAGATGGATGAAGTGCACTGCTGAGGACAGCAGTGGGCGGGTCAGGAGAGGTCTGCCAGGCCATGCGGATCACCTCTGGAGTGGGGATTGAACTCATGCTGAAGTGGATTTAGCTTCTTAGTGCTGTGCTTTAACCCACTGCACCGCTAAGGAGGCCCTCAAATATTAAACTTTTATATTTTAAATTGGATCAATTTTTGTTGAGCTAATGTTGGTTTACAACACTATGATTTGGGGGTATAGGTTCATATTCTTTATATATATATATTACCGCATCACACCTACCACCAAAGCAGCCATAATCCTCTGTAGTAGTCTATTGAATCCCCTCCCTGCTTTACTTTGTCTAAACCTCCTCCTCAGGTAGTGTCAATTCTACAGTCAGATTTCTTTTTCTTTTTTAAATTTATTTCTTTTTACTGAGGTTGTAGTATTGGCAGGCCCCCATCAGATAATTCCACCATAGTGCACCCACCACCAGTTCACCCATATTCCACTGCCACAGATCATTGCGTTTCCTTCCTTTTTTCTTCTTACTCCTACTCTCCCTCCCTGCATTCCGTAGTTGACTATCAAGAGTCAGGTTTTCAGCTTGTCTTTATCTGTTAGTTTAGTTACTTTATATTCCACATATTAATGACATTGTCCAGTATTTATCCTTTTCCATCTGACTTATTTCACTTAGCATTACCCCTTAAAGCCTCTTCCATGTTGCCACAAATGGCATAAGTGTTCTTTTTGATTGCTGAGTAAGATTTCATTGTGTGCATACACCATGTTTTCTTGATCCACAGGCTTATTCTGAGCACTTCAGTTGTTTCCATAATTTAACTACAGTAAACAGTGTTGCAATAAACACAAGACTGCAAGTTTCCTTTCAAATAAGTGTTTTGAATTTTTTCAGTAAATGCTTAGGAGTGGAATTACTGGATCAAATGGCAGATCCATTATTAATGTTTTGAGGCACCTCTCTACTGCTTCCCATAGAGCTGGACCAGCTTGCATTCCCAGTGGTGGTGTAAGAGGGTTCCCTTTTCTTCACATCCTCATCAGCACTTATTGTCTTTTTGATATGACCCATTCTCACAGTTGTGAGATGCTATCTCATTATAGTCTTGATCTCCATTTAGCCAATAATAAGTGATTGTGAATATTTTTTCACAAGAACTCATTTTTCATGAGTTCTTTGTATATCTTTGATATCAGTCCTTTGTCAGATGTATGGTATGCAAATATTTTCTCTTACTTAGTTAGGGTATCTCTTCACTTTAGTTTTTTTTTTTTTTCTCACAGTGTAGAGCTTTTTAGTTTGATGTAGTCCCAGCTGTTTATGTTCTCTTTTGTTTCCTTGTTGTTGGGGGATGAATCCCTATAGGCATCACTAAAGCTTGTAAATGTTTTGCCTATGTTTTCTTTGATGTATTCTATGGTTTCAGGTTTTACATTGCATTGAAGTTTTTGATCCACTTCAGTGTATGGTGTGAGGTCGTTGTCTTGTTTCATTCTTTGGCATGCAGATGTCCGATTCTCCTGACACTTGTTTATTGAAGAGGTTATCCTTGTTCCAGTGTATGTTTTTTGCTCCTTTGTCATAGATTAACTATCCATATATATGTGGCTTTATTTCTGGCCTCTCAATTCTATTCCATTGGTCCAGATATCTGTTAAACATTAAACTTTTAAAAATGGTCATTAATAAGGAACTTCTTAAATCATATATATATATAACAAAATCATGTGCAGCTGTAAAAATATTGAGAATAGTCTTATATTCTGAAATGGAAGGATCTCTAAGACATGTTGTTAAATGAAGTATAGAGCTATCATCATTTGTTATCAGTTGATTAAATCAGGGATAATTAGGTTAGGCATGCATAACCTAAATCTGGAGTAATTCACAGGACATAATGACTACCATTGGAGCTAGAGACTATGTGACTAGGATTAATATAGGAGAGAATCTTGGCTTTCTTATTTTTTCTTAGTTAGGCATTTCATTAATTAATTTATTTTTAATATTTATTTTCTTACATTATTGTTAACTTTTGGACAGTATTTGATTTCTCCCCTCAGCTGTAGTCCTTGTAGTTCTCCAACCACCAATGCACCCATGATCCATCACATAGTCTTTTGTGTTCTTCCCACAAAAGTGTCTGTTTTGACACTTTCCTCTCCCCGTCCCCTGCTGTATGTCTCAGATCTTGGTCAACTTGCAAATTTTGTCTTTTTCTTGGGGAATCAGTGTTCTCTATGAAACTTTGTTTCTTTTAAATTCAAAGCTATCTGGATGTACTATATATTTATTAAAAACAAATAAATTGCCTAGAATCAGATACTTAGTGAGTGACAGAGTGGTATTTATTATAAATTCAAGACTGCCTGGCTCAAAACTCTTTTCCTTTTCAATGATCTCTACGGTATGACAGAGAAAGATAGCACAACCAACTCATTGTATTTTTCTAGTGAGTTTAATTCTTGAAAGTCATCTAAAATATATAGAATACCAAAAAAGTATTGACTCTTAGCAGGCCTTTCAGTACAATGGATATCAGTAATGCTAACAGGATAGGGAGCCAGTGTGTATATCTTACCTGGTATTTCTTTTCTCTCCATAGTTGCTGGCTGAAAACTTTTGAAAATGACAGTGTTCTACAAAGTCCATTTTTATGGTCATTCATCATGCCTGTGACCATTATCCTCATTAGCAATGTTACTATATTTATTATCATCACAGTCAAAGTGTTATGGAAGAATAACCAGAATCTGACAAGGTAAGATTCCCAGGTTTCCTGACAGTTTTCTGTCGGGAATGTCTCATCTAGTACATAAAAGCAGAGTACTACACATCCACAATTTCTAGAAGAGTTTTCAGACACTGGACAATGTCATGGATATGAGGTTTGCAGAACATAAACATAAACTTTGTCTCAGAAATAGTCTCATCTTCTAGCATCTCTACATAATATATACCTGCTGAACTATATAATACACTTGTACTAGATAAGCCCAACTGAAATCTAAACCTACTTCAAGAAAAAAGGTTTTCTCCAAATCCAACATTTATGAAATAATATTTGAATAATTTAAAAAATAAGAGTATGTGAGAAGATGCTGGTAACTGTATTTAAAAAATTTTGTATAAGCTATTATTTTATAAGCTAATAACTTTAGGCTGTATTTTACAAGTTGAATCACATAGTGTCTTTAAAATTTCTTAATTTGTTACAGTAGTAAACAACTTTT